TATTAAGATTAGTATAAAGCATTTTAGATTACTTTTGCTTGTGATGTCACGTGATTAACATGTGATCACGCGAATGTAATATGGCTGATGCGCTACAAGGGCTGTCGTACACAAATTTCCGTAATAGTAAGACATAAATTTAAGCCAATAGGCCAATCAAGATATTGCTTTAGGTCTAAGTAATCTAATGGAAGAAGGTAGAAATAACGATAAACTTATCCATAAGACAAATTTCAATCAGTTGAAATTTCTACGTAACCATGTATAGATAATTTGTGTATTAATATTGGATTCGAGCAAATAATGGGTGGCACATCTATAATCCATCTAACCAATGTTATATGTAAAGTCAATAAAGAAACTAGTAGAAATCAGTGAATTTGACAAAATAAAGATTTATATAAAAATAAATAAGTCATATAAAGATAAAATGTAAGTTTGATATTAATATAGTATTAATGTAGTAATATATAAATATATATTTTTATAATTTATTTAAACATAAAAATTGTTATTACAGGTTATTTAAAAGTGACGGGTAAAATAAGTATATTATTTTGTAGGAAGATATTTAGGATTTCATTGATTCAATCTTATGTTGTATTCGTAAGTATTTTGAACATTGATTCAATCTTATGTTGTATTCGTAAGTATTTTGAACATAGCAATTATACAAAATAAGTTTATGGAATAAAATAAATATGAATACATGGAAGCTTGTATCTTTTTTATTATATCAATATCTCATTCTCATCATGTATTAAATTATGGATTTAAATCTTTCATTTTTTTATAATTGTAATTTATATTTTTTACTAATGAGTTAATATAAATATTACAATAATAACACACTATTTTTATTTTATATATTCTATATATTTTTATTCTAGACATATTTATATTCTTTTTCTGTATCTCTAATTTTTTTATTAGGTTGTAAATTGTTTAACTTTTAAAATTTATTGATATATATATTGCATTAATAATTATGCATTTTGTTATAAAATATATTTAATTATTTGGTTAGTCTTTTATGATTTATTATTGTATGTATTAATCTTTCAGTATCTACAAATAAAAAAATGAAAGAATCATACATATAGAGATAAATTCTCTTCAAGACAAAATTGTATCGGAGACAATGAATGTGAATAATGAAAATTCTGTAGGAGATTCTTTATTAATAGATTTAGTTAGAGGATATTCCCATTTATATAATAAATCATCGCCAAATTTTAAAGATTCTTTAATGAAAGAAAATTCATGGGAAGAAATAACTAAAATCATGACTTGATCACGTGAGTATAAGTTTTTAAATTATATCAATTTATCATTTTATCAATTTAATTGCAAATTTTTTATTATATCAAGTATTCAATTAATATAAGTTTGATGTTTGTAATACTATTACTTAATACAGCTACTGAATGTCAAAAATCGATGGATCAGATTAAGGGAAAGATTTTCTAAAGAAAGAAGAGAAATTAAAAAGTGGAAGTGGAATAGCTAATCGACAAAGTTTTATATGAAAGTATGAAATTTTTGGATAGTTATGTGCAGCGAAGAAGATAAACTAAAGATACTAAAAAATTTGTCGTACGACAAATGTAATAGTTAAACCCTAAAAATTACATCTACAGTTCATAATTTTAATAATTTAAAATACAAACTTCTGTGTATTATTTAGTATTTAATTTGTTTTCTTACAGAACTGTTACAAGTATTTTGCAAAATAAAAAAATAAAGAAAATATTTCTAAGATCTCACCAATTTCAACCAACATAACAGTTGATAATCCTATTACTTCTAAAAATCATCAAACTTTTCCTCTAATTACACAACATTCGTATATAGAGCTTAGCTAAGATAAAAATAGCTAAGATAAAATCATCTGGAAATTTTGAAATGCTTAATGAAATAGAAACAAATGACGAAATACAATCGCAATGTGAACCATTTGTATTTGAAACATCAGGAGAAAGATCCGAAAGATGTCCTTCTGAATCTTCACGAGAGTTTTCGACTCCTACTTCACCTAAACATCATGATAGAGATGATAGAAATATTTTAATTCCTAAAAGAAGAATCCAAAAGAAATCAGAATCAAACAATATTGAACAATCATTTTTATCATTGTCTGCTATAATTGCAGATAAAAGACAAAATTCAAATATGCAAACAATTCCAAATAAAGGTAAAAAAGATGCAGAAGATAAATTTGCAGAACTAATACTTATAGAGATAAGAAACATATCAGAAAAAGAATGTAAGGAAAAGAAAAGAAAAATAATGGATATTTTATGGAATTAATATGTGTAATAAAAATGTTGAAAATTTTACTTTCTATTTATGTCATAAATGTCATACTTATTACTTATATTCATTTTCCATTTATGTCATAAAATGTTACACTTATTACTTATAATAAATAAATAAATAAATATATAAAGCGAGTATTTTTTATAAAAATATTATTTTTTAATTACGTGTACAAAGTTTAATTAGATTCAACGTATAGTTAACATAAATAAGAATCTAGATTTTATACAGAAATAATTTTAATTATCTGAAACACTTATTCTTTTTGTATCAATAATAAATCAACTTCCGATAGTAATTAAGTGAATTCCTATTTAATTATTATCGCTTAGTATAGTAATTATTGGATAATTATTCTCGCAAGATTTATAAATAAATATAGAGTTTTGCGTACAACATTATTATGAGATAATGCTTACAACGTTATAACTTATTCTTCAAATTAACTATGCACAAAAGAAACTAAATTAGAATAGAGAGCGACGTTAAGAATACATAGTCAGTCATGTCTATATAAAAGTATCATTTGAGGCATTAAAAGAGATGGGTATTGAGTGGACACGTTCCGATTGACTACCAGCCATTCACAGCACTTGAATAGTAGGAAAACTAAGCACCGGTCGCTATGAATGGCTGTGGTCAATCGAGACATGTCCAAATGAGACGCTCCCATTAAAAGAGAGTGATTCCCAAGTAGAGATAAAAAAGTTTATTACATATTAACAATCTACTGATTATCGGGGCATGATAGTCATATCTGATACGGGTATTCAAGTAATCTTAGAAAATATTTTAGTTAAAAACCTAATTAAACCTAATTAAAACCTAATTAAAGAAAAAAGCTGTCATGTTGAAACATTGAAACATTGAAACATTATATCACATGTTGTTCTAATTATCATATATTGAGTTACTATTAAATTCTATCACGGTTTTGTCTTTTTCTTATATATTCATATTGCGATATTTCTCCTTCTGGAGTAAAAAAATAATCTGCAAGTTTGTCTCGTTGTTCATATGCTTGAACTGTAGCTCGACGAGCACTGCATGGTTGAATGCTTTGAATATGCATATCATTTTCTCTCCAAGAACTATTTATTACATCTCCATTATTATTTTTGTTATCAATAAAGTTGGGAGGACAATAGAATCTACATGTTTCAGACCGCTGTTCACCAAAACTTTTTAAAAAGTTATGAAGACATACTGTACTCAGAATTATTTTGTCAACAGTATTAGGTTGCATGCATATAGGTCTACGCAGTACTCTCCAACGAGATATCAAAATTCCAAAGGTATTCTCAATTGTTCTTCGTGCACGTGATAATCTGTAGTTGAATATTTTTTTCTTTTCATTTAAATTAAATTTCCTCCTGAATAAGATCTCATTAAATTCTTTGATAAAGGAAAGTCTTCATTTCTAATAAAAAAAAATATGCAGTTGATTCATTATTTCCTGGCAATTTTATTTCATTTCTTAGCAAATTCAATTTTTGTGTTCTTAATAGATTTTCGAATTCAGATTCATAAAATATACCTGCATCATTTTGACTTCTATACGAACCAATATCAACTAAAGTGAATTTATAATTAGAATCACAAGCAGCCATTAATATTATACTAAACTTTTTTTATAGTTGTGATATAAACTGTCAGAGTGTGAAGGAGCTTAAATAACGCAATGTTGTTTGCCATCAAACGAATCAAGACAATTTGGAAACATTCCATTTTTCAGGAAACCCTGCACTAATTCACTTATAATCTGTTTCAGATGGCGGCTGTAAAATTTTGTAAAGGAAGTAAAACATTCGAAATGACTTCAGTTGTTTCTTTTAATAGCACGTGTTGTTGATTCTCCTATACGATGCCAATGCTATGGACAGTATTTGGTCTCCAGTAGCTAAATATCTAAAATGATAATTTTATTTGATATTTTTATTTTATTTTTTTTAAGTATTTCTGATTTTTAAAGCAACAAAAGTCATTAATTAATAATTGAATATCTAATTTCAATATTTTATTTTTATATTTTATGGATAATGAATATTTTTATTAATAATATTACAAATAATTTTTCGAAATATATTCAATTGTATAAAATATATTTCATAAATGTACAATAGATTAAAAAATATGTACCTCAGTGTTAGGGACAAGCGTAATTCAACTGGCAAGCTCTCCAATTTTGTTTTTCAAGCTTTGGAAATACCATTTCCAATAAAATATAAAAGTAATCAACTGTCATCCTTGTATATTGAAAAAACATATCAGTGTCATCTTTTAGCGCTTGCTAAAAATAAAGCAACAAAATCTCCTTGAGGTCGATTTTCATTTATAGGCTTTATCCAGAATCTTCGTTTGCGCTGTTTTCTTTTCCAAATAACAAATAATCTACACTATTGATCGTTAAAAAAATGATCGTTAAAAAAAATTAGGATCATCTCATATATTTTCCATTGTTATAAATAATAAAATATTTACATGTTTAACAATTTCATTGTATAGGTTAGTGTTAAACATTAATATATAAGTTTTTTCATTATTGGAAACATTACTTGTTCAATAAATAGTACTTACAAATAAATATATTTTTATAAGTAAATTTATTTTAGTTAAAACTTAAGTTAAGTACTTAAATTAATTTACTTTATTTATTAACCTATTGTTTATTTTAAATTTTAATAATAATTTAATAAGATATTAGAATATAATCTAAAACACACAATGAGGCATTTTGCGAAATTTTCTGATATATTGCGGAATACATTTTAAATCTAAAAGTAATTTCTGATTGATGGAATTACATTTTATTTTTACGGTTAATGATTATAGTCTCGCTCTTTCTGCGGATATTTTAGGATTGATTGAATTAATCTATACACTCATTCATTGGCTAATTCTTACGTTATGTAACGTCCGCAGAAAATTAAAACTTGCGGACGTTCATCCAAAATGATGTAGGTGCAATCGAACCTCAGGGTAACGCATGCGTAACTTTAAATATTAAGATTTGAATATTAGGATATAACTTTCATCATTTTATATATATATGTTCCTCTTTTTTTTTAATATAATTCTTATTATTATTAAGATAATCAATGGTAAAGCGAGAATTCATTTTCCTTCGTCTCGCGATAAGACATAATTTTATTTTATTATTATTATCATTATTATTATTGTTTTCTTTTGGAAATATAATCTGGGAATATAATTCTATAATTTAATTTTCTTTTCTCGTATCGTCTCTTCTTCAGTTCTCGATGTTACGATTGTAAAAGAGACGAGAGAACGTTCGATGACTTTTAGTTTACACAAAAAGGGGAGGCTTATCGCATTCAAATATTTCTAACGTAAACTTTCAAACGAACTCGGAGAGCCTTCGTTGCGCAAAATTTAACCGACGACGAAAATGAAGTAAATGAATTCTCGTTTTGAATAATAAGATTTACCTTTAAGTATTAATGATATCTTCGAAAATATCAGGTTTAGTTTTATTTCCTCTTTCTTTCTTTTACTTTTCCTATTTTCTCATAAATAATTGTAGTACAAAATAAATGCTCAGTCGAGGAGTGCTTTGTTTGCTCCTCCCCTTTGCGCCTGACGGCCCTAGACGGATTGGGTGCGGACGGGGCAGTGGTGAGCGAACCTCTGAAGAAGCCAGTCGTTACCAAATCGTCAGAGAGTCCAGTCACTATCTCAAACCGCTGAATCTTATAATTACAAAGGAAAAATAAAGGAAAGGAAAACGAAATCACTAGAATTCTAACACATTTAATAATTTGCATCTAACAATTTAAGGTAATCATCATTTTTAATACTATTTGGAATATTATTCGATTTTCTTATATTATACTATCCGATTTATTTATATTATATTACTGATTTTCTTATATTATATTATTCGATTTACTTATATTATATTACTGATTTTCTTTCATTATATTATTTAATTTTCTTATATTATACTATTCGATTTACTTATATTATAACGGTCTCGCTTTTCCGCGCGGAGAGCGGTCAGTCGGTTGCCAGGAGGAGAAGCGAGGACGTTGGAGACAGAAAGGCGTGATTAAATTGTGAGGCGAGATTGATAATAAATAACGATGTTTATTTAACTAAGAGTGGTGCGATGGAATGCACCGAATCGTCG